TCTTTCCTGCTTTATGCAGGGGGTCGGACTCAATGATCTATTGAGGTCCCTTCCGACCCTAACATCTATGAATCTATGAATCTATGAAGAACTGCCATACTGGATCAGGCCATATGTCCATTTTGCCCAGTCTCCTGCGTCATGCAGTGGCAGAGAGCAGATGCTAAAAGGGGGAGGGAACTGGATATGACCAGGTTTTTTTCCTGTTGTTCCTCTCACTTGCAGACTCCAGCATTTAAGGTCTAGGAAGTTCTGTTTCAGAAGCTGTGTCCTTAACACCCCATCTTTAACTTCCAGGGATAGAGGCTACCGATGCCCCTTTCATCCACGAATTTGTCTTATCCCTTTTTGAATCCAACTAAACTGTCAGCTTTCACAACCCCTCGTGGCAATGACTTTCACACTTGAATGACATGCTGTGTGAAAAAGAACTTCCTTTTATTAGATTTAAACTTACCACTTACTAGTTTCATTTTGTGACCTCCTAGTTCTTGTTTTGTGAGAGAGAGTAAATAATAAATCCCTGTTTACTTTCTCTTCACCATTTAGTATTTTGTAAGTCCTTTCATGTCCCCCCTAAAGCATCCTTTTTCTAAACCAAATAGGCCTGTCCTCTTTAGACTTTCCTCATATGGAAACCCCTCCATACCACTAATCATCCTTGTTGTCCCCCTCTGGACCTTCTCTAGTTCTTCTCTATGCTTTTTGAGGTGTGAGAACAAGAGCTGAGCACAATATTCATGAGATGAATGCACCATGCATTTATAAAGGGACATAATGATACTTCCTGTTTTGTTTGCAATTCTCTTCTTAATAATCCCTAACATTTGTTTGTCTTTCTAATGGCGGCTGAGCACTGAGCTGATGTTTTTAGCAGACTGTCCACAATGCCTTCCAGGGAGGAAAGACATGTGCTGTGCTAAGGGGGCAGTCACGGTGCAGGGGCAAAGGGGTGGGGCAGGACAGCCCTGTCCAGCTCCCTGCAGAGCACCAGGACACTACACTGACTGAGCACTGGAGACTTAAATGCCCAGGGTCAGAGTATAGAGAGCAGGGGATGAGAATGATCAGCTTAACAGAGCAAAGCTAGTTGGTTACTAGGATATCTAAGCCCTCAGTGAATTTATACAGCAGAGCAGACCCCCAATCCTGACCAGGGCCACTGTGGGGCCCAAGATAAGTGCAGCCACCACAGAGCATGAAGGAGTGAATCATGGCTTTAAACAATCATGAGTTCAAACCCAGTTTTTCTTTAAGAGCCACAGCAGCTGTTCATTAGTGACACGTGCACTGGGTCATTACAGCAGGGGTTTCTGGATTGAATTGCCTGGTCAGAATCCGCCAACCTCCCACTTATTTGGCCATGGTCCAGTGCTAGCAAGGCACCACAACCTCTGCGTGTGGTCTGGCCACCACTAGAAGGAGACAGAGCCATTCCCTGTGGGCCTGGGTCATTATATCAGTGTAACATCAGTGTCATATGGAGATAAGAGCCTATTACTGCTGCCAGCTAAGGAAGATGTTCCCTTAGTTAGAGTGGTAAGGATCCTGTGATTCAGAGCTAGACAGCTGGGGTTTGGCCATGGAGGGGGCTGTCAGGACAGTTACACCCCTGGTAACTAGAGTCAGCTACATCTATAGGAGAGCTATGGTCATAGGTAGTCTGTAGCCCCCACCCCCTCCTGGTGGTGCTGAGGTAAGGAAGGGTTGAATGGCACCCACCCCCACCCATGGCTTCAGCCTTACCTTGGATGTGCCCTTTGTGGAGTAGTAAAGTCCTGAGCGCCGCAGAGAAAAGTAGAACCGCTTCCAGACCTTGCGCCCAGCCTCCTTCAGGTGCAGGAAGCCCTGGATCTCTGGGCAGCTGCCAGAGTTGAGGAAGTTCTGCAGGAGAGGAGAGCAAGGCGAGGGTGGTGGGAAGAAGGATGCCAGCAGGGGAGCGGGTGGGGAGTAGATTAGTAATACTTAACATGGGCCCCATGCCTGCTGTTGTCAGGGCATCAAACTGGCATTCAGCACTCTGCCTGGTAGTTCCTTAGATTCAGCCCAGGTGCATTCTCCCTCCACTCCTGGCCCCATGGTGCCACAGGCTGGCATGGTGCCTGCTTACAGGGTCCAGCCACATGGGTGCCCTTCTGATGGACGATTCCCACATGCCCAAGGATCAGACCTGGGGACCAGCAGGGGTGGCTTGCAAGGAAGGCAGAGAGGAGTGAGTACCTGGATGAGCTCTGAGTGGGACATGCCCTTGTTGGCATCCAGGCAGCTGGAGACCATCACCTCAGGGAACAGGGACTGCTGAGAGCAGGGAAAG